GGCAATCCACTCACCTCAGCCCCTCAAAGGCGTGGGATTACAGGCTGAGCCACCGAGCCCAGCTAGTAAGCCCACTTTTGAGGCCTCTGCTTCATGACCTAATCATCTCCCCAAGTCCCCGCTTCCTTATCCCATCACCTAGGGGTTAGGATTTCAACATATACATGTTAGGAGGACACAAATATTCAGCACTTGTTCAATTTCCTACTCATATAAAAGCTGATAAACATAGGACTCATAGAGTTAGAATAAAATGAATGAAGCTTGTAAACTGCCTGGCACCTATTGGGATCTAAATGAATGTAAATCAGCATTATTAGTAGTAGAAAAAAACTGAAGTGGTAGAAGCTTAAAATTACAATTGATGCAGTTAAATCTGGAGCTAAAATGGTGGTTGGAAGAGTATGAATGAATCAGGAATATAAAGACTAAAATAGGCAGAGGTGTGCTCCAAATAGTGAAATGGCAATATTTCTCTCTCGCTGGTTTTACTCATCTAGGCCAGGAAGACGTTTCATGTAGTTTTGAGACAAGCTATGGGTTCCAAAGAAAAAATGAGTCTGCTCTCTTATGAAACAGCCCATGAGACTTATTCTTCCATGTGGTAATCTCTCTTTTTCTTAAAAAGTGCTCCCTCTAAGTTCCCTTGAAAATCCCACTCCTTCAAATTTCACAGAACTCCCATAGAATAAATCTGCTTATGTTTATGTTCACAAAGTGCTCATTTGTATATAGATTCTGGAATTCCATATGTGCTTCCAATGGAATTCAGCGTATGATATGTTCAGTTGTGCCTATTCGGCACTTACATTTAGTTTAAGACGGATGCTCCATCTTGATTTTAAAATGTTTAATTCCCCAGCACCTATCACAATTTTTCTTCACTTGGATGGCTTTCTCACAATTGGAAGAAGAAATTACCTCAACAAGCCTCCAAATAGAGTCCCTCCTGGAGGACCTGGCTGGGGAGTTTTATGTCACTCTCATCACGGCACATTGTCAACATGACGTACCCTGTTTGCAAAACGTTTGCCCAGACAGCTCAGGAAAGTCAGGAATGTGGGGCTGGATAGGCTTTTACAAAGAGGAGATTTTGATGTCTTGTTCATATTGTACAGAAAAAGAAGGAGGCTGTTGAAAGTGGCAAACGACAAATTGAGAACACTTTAAAGCAGGGCAATGACATACTCGGTGAAGCCCACCGTCTTGCGGATGAAATCAACTCAGTCATTGATGTGAGTATTTGGTAGAACCTAAAGGTAGAAGAGAGATGATAATGGCATGGGCCCTAATAAATGGGAACTAATGAGAAATCGCAACAAGATCTACAAATACTAATGTTTTGCTTTCTTGCGAAGGCAAAATTATTTTTGCTTATTCTATTGTGACCACAACCTATCAGTGACAATTAGAGCTTCACTTTATTCTTCCAATAGACACGAATGTTTGTGTGAGGGTACCCACACAAATCTGTTTGTGTGTTTTTCCCACAGTGATAAAGGACATTTCTTGTTCCTATAGCAGCACTTTTAATTTGCTTCAATATTTATATAACGTTAGTTAAGAGAGTCAATCTACAAACAAACTTTCAACATACTGCCTAATGCATTACTCAGAGTTTTATATGGTAATAGAAATACCAGTGGTCTAAAAATCCGAATGACTAGCATTTATGCATTTATACCTATAAAGTTGCATTTTTTCAGAGATAGGCCCTTCTTGGTAGATGTTGGCCTCACACATTTCCCAATCTCTTTCATTAAATAATGGCCTTTATTCTCTATTTTCATTTTGCTATGGTAGTAAATGTCAAGTTTTGCTAAAAAATTAAACATTTTTGATACATGTCTCACGGAGAAATTAGTAAACTAGAGAAGTCTTAGAGTCACTTGGTTCAAATACCCTATCTTCTCTACATCATAGTATGTTGAAGACATTCAGACTAAATTGCCACCTATGTCTGAAGAGCTTAAAGACAAAATAGATGACCTTTCCCAAGAAATAAAGGACAGGAAGCTTGCTGAGAAGGTGTCCCAGGCTGAGAGCCATGCGGCTCAGTTGAATGACTCCTCTGCTGTCCTCGATGGGTACGTCCTTTATTGTTGGAAATGTCTGTTTATGTTGACACTTGCCTAGAGGTTTTGACTAGCAGAAATGGTAGAGTATCCCTTTCCAATTTTGATTTCTATAATTATGAACATATGAGTTACATGGCCTTTTGGTGGAAGGTCCTAATTAGGAGGGTCTGGGCAAAGCTCTGCTGGAACAGCATCAAAAGTCTGAGTTAAAAGTAGATTCAAACGCAACTTGGTAGGAAGTGAACATAGCCCTAGGCTATACTTAGAAAAAATTATTTTCTGTTCTTTATTAGAAAGCACAGTGGTTGCCTTATTAGCATTTTAAATAATATATATAAATACATTCTGCTTCAAATTTCAGTTTTATATTTCTAATGGAATCAAAGCAATTTATTGTTAAAAGGGTGGCTTTTGAAATGTGGTCCCGTACATAGCCTTTAAGTCTTTTTTTCCCCCATTTTAAATTCCAGGGAAACACTACATACTTCCCTGTGAGATATGGCGAGCTCTAACTGGGATTATTACACAGGTCAGAGGAGGAAGGTGCAAGAGGGAAGGGTATATTTGACTCATAAACAGCCTTCTAGGTATAATTAATATGTTTCCCCTAGAGGGTTGAGATTGTCATAATAAAGATGCTGTTAGCCTCAAGAATAATTTTCCCAAATAAATCTACACCACATGCAAGGCTATGTTTCCATGCATAATATTTATTGTCACAAAGAAAAATATTAATATTTGAAGACTCTTGGCATTATATGCACAGTTCATTTTATAACCAGCTTTTGCCACTTTATAGTGAATAATGGAGAATAGAACAATAATCCAAAAGTCAGAAGACCCAGGCCCCAAATCTTTAATTGGGGACATGTTTTCATGTGACCTAAAGCAAGCCATTTAACTTTTTGAGTCAGTAATCCTACTCAGGGAAGTGCACCTATCCCAGAGAAATTTTGTGAAATTAATTCCGGTAATGTAGACCAAGTACTCTGAATCCCTTAGCATGCTTCACAAATAATATTAAGGATTGTCTCTCTGCACACACTTGCCTGGTACCCATGGTTGCAGAGGCTTTTGGAAGATGCTATGGGTATTTAAGCTATATTGGTAGTATTTCAAAACTAAATTATTTAGGAATACGAGTTTAAGTTAAAAACTACAACACAACACAGTAAGTAGATCCCTCACTATGATTTGGAATTACTGTAATTATATTGGCCATGATCATTTGGAAGCTGTATTTATTGTAATTAGGGTATTCTTCACTTGAGTACCATTGAGTGCTTTAACGTTCTTATTTCATTTTATTTTTTTTTGGCTCATTCCCAGAATCCTTGATGAGGCTAAAAACATCTCCTTCAATGCCACTGCAGCCTTCAAAGCTTACAGCAATATTAAAGACTATATCGACGAGGCTGAGAAAGTTGCCAAAGAAGCCAAAGGTCTCGCACATGAAGCTACACAACAGGTAAGAAACAAACAACAAATGTGCTGAGAGTGGAGGTCAGCCTTTTTGAATACCTAAACTCAGTTTTTCAAATTTAAGTGCGCTCTGGAAAATCCTAGCAAATTAGCATGTCTGTTTTGAATTATTTTTGAAGCCCTCTTTTAAATTTTACCAATTCTCAAGATGCTGTCATTTTAACAGAACTCTTTAATCAGTCACTCACTACTTAACACTGTCAGGGTCTTAAAATTATCACAGAGGCCAAGCAGTTTTGTGCCACCAACCATAAAAACAGGCAGACAGAATACTCTGGACAAGGATATTTATCACCATTATTTCAAATGTCATCAGTTAAAAAAAAAAAAAACTCTGAAAATTAACACCATTGCTTATAGTAACAAACAAGCTGGCTACATATGAAGTTTGGCTACAAAATGTACTTTTTATAAAGCACATCAGATCATATACTTCTAAACTATTTGTACCATTTTTATGAATTGGAAAACTCTTAACTTTTGGCTGCAATCATTGTTCAGAATTTATTTGAAACCAGTATTTTAGAGTTCTGGGATTCCAAGTTAAATCATATTATTTAAATATCTCCGATAGTGAAAATTTTTATTATTTATATGTAGGGTAACAACATATAAGTAAATAAGTTGTTTGATAACCCTTAGTAGTACTATTTTAAGTTAAAAAAATTCTCATAGGAAGCACACTGTGAGTTAAAATGCTCAGAAATATCATTTACTCCTTTTGCTTCATACAAAATCTCTTAAATACAGAATTTTTTTGAAGGGGGTAAAATCTGAGTAGATAGTTAACTGTGAATAAAATATACATAAATTATAGTGTTAAAGAAGCAGATCAACATTTTGTTTTGGTATTGGGCAAAAGTGCTTCCTTGGATTTCAGGGATATTAAAGACATTTACCACAACACTAGGAGATTTATTTTGTGGTCATATTGAAAACATATTCTATGAGCAATTACTACTATTTTTGGTTTCTCTGGATTGATCTCTACTAATGCCACGTGTTCTGCTTATTTCTACTAATGACACGTGTTCTGCTTATTTAAAATAGTGGAGTGATCATTGAAGAAACTTTTCTACATTCAGCTGTTCTTTCAAAATTAACCTATTTTTCAAATCTAAAATAATTTTTTTAACCCTCTAGCAATTGTCTTATAGATAATTTTCTTTTTTAAAGAACCTCATCTTCAAGTTCACCACTTTCATTTACCCTATTTTATTTGGTATCCATTTTTAGCACCTAGCATGATGTCTGATAAGTGAATGAATGAATTTAACTTTTTTTTTTTTTTTTTTTTGAGTTGGAGTCCCACTCTGTCGCCCAGACTGGAGTGCAGTGGCCACTCCTGGCCACCGCAGCCTCGACCTGCTGGGCTCCGGCGATCCTTCCGCCTCAGCCTTCCAAGTAGCCAGAACTACAGGCGTGCGCTACCACGCCCGGCTGATTTTTTGATTTATTGTAGAGATGAGGTCTCGCTGCCCAGGCGGGTCTCAAACCCGCGGGCTCAGGCAATCCACTCACCTCAGCCTCCCAAAGGCGCGGGATTACAGGCTGAGCCACCGAGCTTGGCTGAATTTAACATATTTTACGCATATTTACAATCTGTTTTACCAAGAAGTATCTTGCTATTGTCATTGCTTCATCCTTGTAAATTTCTTCTAACATTTTATATTAAAGATTTATTTAATTTCACCCAAATCTATTACTGTCACTTTGCACTTAGGAAATAGTTATGTTTATGCCAGGGTAAAATCATTAAGCTGAACAATTACCTAGATTTAGCTAATATCCCATAAGTCTAAGATCTGGTATTATTGCTAGAGCTATAGATAAACACAGAAGGATGGTATGAAGTATATTACTTATCTGTTAAAGAATTAAAATAATAATAGAGAAGAGTCCTCTATTCATTCGAGTCTAGCCCTACAAAGAAAAAAGAATGTTTGAAATAAATTAAAAAGAAAAAAACAAAGTAGGTGTTTGCAGGGGAAAAGAAAAAGGCCTACTAGACAAGCAACAAAATAACCAACTACCACTATGAAGAAAATAGAGGTGAGATAACTTGAGAAGGAAAAAAAAAGCATTGAAAAATATCATAGGAAAAGATATAAATGAGTGGTAGAAGTTACTTCTAAGCATAATTAAAACAGCATTTTAAAAGTACCTTCAATTTTTAAAAAATTTACTTGTCTACCTATTTATAAGCACATAAAATCAGAAATCAAATTGAAAGAAAAATATCAGTGAGAAGAAAATTTATCCTTTATAAGCAGAAGAAAGTCACATACAATTTAAGTTTAAGTTTGTATTCTTATGTAAAGAGTAACAGTTACTTGTCTTGCATAAATAGTTTCTTTATCAGGATGAAATATTATTTTAAGCCAGGCTGGATGGCTCAGCCTGTAATCCCATGCCTTTGGGAGGCTGAGGTGAGTGGATTGCCTGAGCCCCGGGGTTCGAGACCCACCTGGGCAGCGAGACCTCATCTCTACAATAAATCAAAAAATCAGCCGGGTATGGTAGTGCATGCCTGTAATTCCGGCTACACGGAAGGCTGAGGCGGAAGGATCGCCCGAGCCCAGCAGGTCGAGGCTGCGGTGGCTGGGAGCGGCCACTGTACTCCAGTCTGGGCGACAGAGTGAGACTCCAACTCAAAAAAAAAAAAGAAAGAAATATTATTTTAAGAACTTAGACATTATGAAAAACACTTTTTTCTATTAATGTTGGTCAAGTTGCGTAAGGAAAGTACCACAAAACATTTTTTTTCTACATACAATCTCCAAGACAAACATCTTATGTAGAACCTCCCTTTGGTGAATACAAGGAAAAGGAGAAAGAAAACATGTCACTTTTTAGAAAATGGAGTCCAGAGATCCAGTATTTTTTTTCTAACCTAAATTGCTTTGCGCCTGTAAATTTCTCAAACATCAGAGAATTAAATCTTTTTTAAAAATTCAGATCATAGGAGAACTTGAAACAAACATTATCCTCAAGATCAGATTTACAGGTTGACAAACAAATGAATTTCACATGCTGTTGGTTCTTTGGAATAACCTCCAAAGGCAATAGCACATTCTTGACGATCCTGGGATACGAGGCCCTCCTCTGCCCATTTCCACAGATCCTAGATGTTCTCCACTTCAGTCTGGTATATCCAGACAAACAAAAGAAGGCTAATGTGGAATGAATTCCATAGGTCAGGTCCTTAAAGATAGTGACGAATCATCATACCACAATCATCACTCACTCTCCACCTCTTCAAAAATGTCGTCTTCCTCCTTTCTCTAAGACAATAAAATGTGCTGGCTTGGTTTATATACTTTGATGTAGACAATTTAGGCAGACCTCAACTTCTCCAGGGATCTTGCATTTGAAATAATGAATCACATTTTCACTTCCCCTGGCAGCTGAAGATCTCTCTTCTCTCCTGTCTTACTTCTTCACCGTGCAGTCACTGTCATTATCTAACTTCTCTCCCTCTTTCTCTCTCTCTCTGTCCTTTCTCCTTTCTCTCCTTACCTCTCTCTTTCTGTCCTCATCCCCCTCTTTCTCTTTTCTCATCCCTTTCCCTCTCTCTCTCTCC